TTGCAAAGCACATGAGACAAAGGACTAGTGTCTAAAATATAAAAGCACTCTCAAAACTCAGCAGTATAAAAACAAACATACAATTAGAAAATGGGCAAAGGACATGAAGAGACATTTAAACCAAGAGGAAATACAGATGCTAAATCGGCAAGTGAAGAGAGATATTCAGTATCACTGGCTGTTAGGAAAATGCAAATTAAAACCGCAATAACCTATTAGTGCACACCCATCAGAATGGCTAAGATGAAAATGGTCACAACACCATAAGACAGTGCAAAGCGGAGCTGCTGGATCACTCACGCACTGCTGGGAGTATGAAATGGTGTAGCCCCTCCGGAAAACAGTTTGGCAGTTCTTTAAAAACTAAATACACAACTACCATATGACCCAGCATTTTCTAGGCATTTATCCCAGAGAAAGGAAAACTTATGTTCACACAAAAACCTATACATGAATGTTTACAGAAGCTTTACTTACACCAGCCAAAAGCTGGAAAAAATCCAGATGTCTTTTCATAGGTAAATGGTTAAACTGTAGTAAATCCACACCATGGAATACTAAGCAATAAAAAGGAACCAACTACAGTATTAATACACGCAACGACTTGGGTAAGTATAAAGAATTATGCTGAGAGACAAAAGCGGTTCCAAATAGGTTACATATTGTTTGGTTCCATTTCTGTAACATGTCGTTTGATTTCATTTATAACACTCTTTAAATAACAAATTTGGAGAACAGATTAATAGCTGTTAGGGGTTAAAGAGCACTTGGGGCTGGGAAGGAAGGTGTAGCTATACAAGGGCAACATGAGGGAGCCTTGTGATGGAAATGTGCTCTGTCTTGGCTGCATCAATGTCATTGCCTTGGTTGTGATATTGTACTATAAAAATGTCACCAAGGTGGGGGAGGTACTAGGTAAAGGGGACAAGAGAATTCTCCACGTTATCTCTTAGAATTGTACGTGAATCTGCAATTATCTCAAAATAAAAAGCTTAACTAAAAATAAAACCAATTGTATATGAAATCCACAAAAAGATTTAATTAGACTCGAACAGACTTACCCAAAGCCCCATCCATCTATTGCACTGGTAAACACCACATTTCCCTGTTCTGGAGAGAAGTAAAGGTGAGAATCGTCTGTGTCCTCCAAGCCAGTGCTCCAGTCATACACCTGCTCTCCTTGTTCAGAATTTGGATTCACCCGGGATTCAGTCTCTCTCTCTGCTCTTTCTTCTAGGACTTTAGAAGTAAAAAGAGTTCCTGTGAGTGCATTAATCTAGGAGAGACGGTGAAATGGCAGAGTGTCACTCAGCTGCTTAGCATGCTCATGATAGGAGAAGCACTGCCTAACTTTTGTTAGAGCTAAAATCATCAGTCACAGTTTGGGCACATATGGATGGAGGTGACATTTACAATCAATGAATAACTTACAGGTTATTAATGCATTCCTTCAAAATCCAGGAAAACTAAATCATAACGCTTTTGGAAGGTCATTTTTACAGTGATTATTTTTAGTTTAACGTAAATGTTAATGTTATATCTTTGTTTTTCAGTACTGAGGTCTGGTATCACTTGTAACTCAGGATTTCCAATTCTCACAGCCCTAGCTTGTAACCTTAGTCAACTCTCTTGCCCCTTTCTCTCACATCAGCTGTTTGAAATTTTCACCACTCTCTTCAGGCCCTCTTCCCAACCTCTAATCCCCAACTACTTTCACTCCCAAAGAAGCAGTAATCTTATTTCTCAGCTCAGAAAGAAAGTGGAACCGATTACTCAGATTTCTTGCAAGTTCCCCACATTCCAACTTGTAGCTCTGTTTACATCTGCAAATACTGCCGGCCCTTCGTCTGCCACTGCGGGGCAGGAGTATTTCACCTCTGCCTATTTCTACAAGGAACTCGATCTATCCTTCATTCTTTTTCATTGCTCTACCTTTATCATTGCCTCCCGTTAGCAAATAAATATACTCAGGTTGGTCTCATCAATGGCTTTCCACTGTCTTGGAGAAGAAATTTCAAACTCCTATGCATGGCATACAAGGTCCACCAAAATCTAAGTCCCATACTCCTTTCTCCCATCTCGTCACTGCTTAACATGATCTAATTATTCGGCTATAACGAACAATTTGTAGTTCCTTGAATGAAACATTGTACCACGCTTTCTCTTGCCTTTATGAAGTTGCACATTCTATTTCTTCTCTTTTGAATGTCCTTTCCTTAATTTTCTGCCTGGCAAACACTTACCTTTCTTCCACCTCAACACATCCACTGTGAGACTTCTAATTCCTTCTTTCCTCTTGATCCAGACTGGGTTAGGTGGCCCCTGTTCTATGCTGTCAAATCACACTCAGGACTTACCTCGTCGTCCTCCAAATAACTCTCTAAGTGTCTCCCCTAGTATACTCTTTGAGCTCTTTTGAAAACAGGACTCTGATCTATCCATTTTTATATTCATAATCCCTAGCACACAATGGACATTCAATAATTCATTTATTCAACATACAAGTGAAATGTTTGCTCAATAAATAAATGAAAGAATGTTTGGGTAAAATTTTGTCTAAAGACAGATAATAAAACACCATAGTGCCTCCTAGTATTGCTTCACTTTGGAACCAACCTACAAAATTTTAAACAAGAGAGCCTGTTATCCAAGCTTTATACTATGGGTGCTTCCAGGAGACGGAGGGACTCCTCAGAACATGTTTGTTCTGTTGCCTCTGTTGTAGCGAGACTCCAACATGCATGAACCTTAAGTGGAAAAGTTCGATTTTCTGTAGCAATGCCTCATATCCAACTCAGTAACTTCCTTACAACTTTTCTTTGAGCCCTAATTTTTAAAATACTGAAGAATACCTGTTCTAGAATATTCTTGAGGTGCGAATAGGCCTCCTGTGGGGTGAATTTCAGTTCCACTATCAAGCGATCTATCTTATTAATCACTAAAACTGGACGGATGTTTTCAAGCCAGGCTTGTCGCAGAACTGCCTGTGTCTGATAAAAACAGAAAGAAAAATGTAAAACTCATGATTTGAAATAATTAAATTGAAATAATTAAAACTACTCCCACACTCCTTTATCACAACTCAGACTATGCCAGTCACACAAAGGTATTCACGAGGCATTCACAAAGTATATATACAGCACGGTAACAGAGGACTGCAGATAAGAAACCATCCTTACCTCCAAGCAACTGACAGTCTATTTAAGAAGGATAAATAAAATTATGCACAGATATGAAGGGTTTGGTGGAAATACGTGTGTCTATAGACACATACATACACACAGGTACACAGAGTTAACTGAATAACTATAAAACAAAAACTCATGTTACCAGCACACAGATCAAAAAATATAAAACATTTCTCCAGAAGCTCCCTGTGTACACCTCCCTGATCTCTTAAAGGTAACCTCCAGTCTACTATTTTAAAGCCGGGTGTGATAGTTTCCCTTCTCCTGTCAGGATACATAAGACGCTACACAGACTGAGGCTGTGCTTCTCAAGTGGGGTACCTGTGCCATCAGGGGAAAGCAGAGGGGAGGCTACAGGATAATCACAGTAGACCTTTTTAGAATATCATATTTCCTTCATTTGAGTCATTTAAATCTTGTATTATTCTTTTAAAAAAAACATTAAAACAAACGTGTATGTTAAGGAGTAGAATACAATGGTGATTTTTTTTTTAAGATAAAACTTAAGTTTTCAAAAACAATTATTAAAAGAAATGAACTTAGGCACTTTGAGCTTCATCCCCACCAGAGCTCTAAGTTCACTGTGGCCTTAGGGGTGAATTTTCTAACTTTGGTGGAACAGATGAGAAACACTGGATTAAGGCTATGGAAGAGTAAGAAAGAGAAGTACAAAGGGAGTGTGCGTGTGTGTATAAGTAGGTGGGAACAGACGTGGAGATTGAGACATCAAGAGAACAGAACTTCTCCCAGAGAACTAGCTCAGTATCTTGGTATCAACAATCTCTCACAATTCAAAAACCTTCTCCATTGTAGTAAAATCTCAGGATCCTCCCCAAATTCAACATTTCTCCCATTTTTGCTAAGTCCCTCTCTAAGAGGATATCATAGACACTTCAATACAAAATATCTAAAGTTAAAGTCACCATCTCTAAGATCCCTTCAAAACTCTGGTGATGTAACTCCTTCACAGACTGGAACATTACCAAATGTGAAATATAACACCAACGTTCTGACTGTCAACGAAATGCCTGAAGTGGCACACAGTAAGCAACAGGAGTTCCTCCTATTTCCGCACCTTCTTTGACCACTTAAATATCTTCACGTTACCGACCATTACCTGCGGACAGACTCCTTCCACGGCATCCACCACGATAATGCACCCGTCGCAAATGCGAACAGCTGTTGACACTTCTGAGGAAAAATCCACATGTCCTGGAGAGTCTATCAGATTAATCAGGTACTCCTCATTAGCTGAAACAGAATTAGAAACACTCGTTTCAGTTGTGCAGGTATACAATACTCTTCTCCTCAGGAATTCTAGAATAACAAAGTTTCTAAGAAAAAAATGAACAAAGCTAAAGGAGTCAAAAGCTCAATCAACAGCTCTCATTCTAACTTTTCCCACTGAAGGACTACTGATTTCAAACAGCATCCATATAAAATGATACAGGACTTTATTATTCTAATAGTTACCACTTAAGAACTTAGTGGGAGCAAGGCACTGTGACTAAACACTTTTAGTGTGCTAATCTCACACTATTAAATCCTTTCAATATCCTCATTAGATAAATATTACTATTCTCATTTTACAGATTAGGAAGTTGAGACTGAAAGAAACCAACGCCTAGGGGCCTGACAGTGAAAGCTGTTCAAAGGGGCCAAAAATGCCAATTTAAAACAAACGACATAAAGCAGTTGGCCAAGTTCTTCCCTACAATTCTCAAAGAACAAATGTTTGGGACAGAAGAGTTTCGGATTTCAGATTTTGGAATATTTGCTTTATATTTACAAGTTAAGTATCCCAAATCCAAAAATGTGAAATCCAAAATGACTCCTTTGAGCATTATATTAGTGCTCAAAAAGTTTTGGATTTTGGAACATTCCAGCTAGAACTCAACTCTGAGGTTAACTGTCTAAGATCAAATAATTCGAAATGACAGAGCAGAAGTTGAAACCCATCTTACTCTAAAGACCATATCTTTAACCACTACACTCAGGATGGCAGTACATTTTATCCCACATGCCAAGATTCCACTGGTAGTGAATTCCCAAAACACCGGGTGAAGGACTCCAAGGTGAACGGGGGCTCACTGGGAAAGACTGCCACCAATTCCCATCAGACTGTCCTCCTCAGCACCACTCCTCCCCCAGCCTCCTGTCTTTTCACACAAACCGCTTTATAAGGAATCTTTGTTCTGCTACATCCACCAGGGGAGGTTCCAGCCAGAGAAGACAGGACATGTCCAAAGTAAATCAAAGAAGTCAAATAACAAGGGGCCTGGAGCCACGGCCCGCTGTGCCTTAATCAAGCCTTTCACTGTCAGTTCTCACAGCAGTGGTTCTTCCAGCTGCCCCCTTGGATGAGCACCATTGTCTCAACAGAATAAAGCAGAGAAAGGTGCGTAAGTCTAGCATGGTTCAGGGTCTTATCATATAAAGCAAAAGCTGTGAGATTCTTGCAATCACTCAACATTTTCTTAGCCTAACCCTTCATTTCGTGGATAAACACGCTGAAGCCCCCAAAGGTGAGAGATTAACCAAGGTCACAAAAGCAGCAAGCCAGCAGCACACCCAGGTCTACCTAACAATCTTTAGTCACTTCTCAGGTCTTGGATTACCTTATACTTTGCAGCTGAGGAAACACTTGCTTGTTCATTTAACTAAACTCCAGACTTTAGGCCGGAGAACTGCAAGCATTTTCCCATCCTTTCTCTGTGATACTACCTGGACCCAATACAGAAATTCCAGAGAATGAGTGTCCTATCAAGTTCTTTACAGATTCTAAAAATGCACTCATACAGAAGTCTCAGGGTTTCTATACAACAGTGCTCTTATCTTTAATTGGGGTTATAAACCTTTTAGAGATACCAGAAAAATGAACATCTACCTACCTACCTACCCCCCTAATTTCCAGACCCTTTGAATTTGAAATTCATTCAGAGATGGCAGGTTCAGATCTAGAAGGGAACAAAAAGCCAGTGATACACCCAGTGTTTCCACCTGAAAATTACATTCTGAAAATCAGAGTGTGTTATCCAATACTACAGCTGGGAAATACAGCTCACAACACATGTACATGTTAAGGGTTCAGAGAAACCCGGTAATAAAAAAAGCCTGTCCAACTCTGTTTAACCTGGGGTTTCTCAATTTATTCAACGGTGAGAAAGAGGAAGCGCTGTGCTTAGTCACACAGCTGGCAAAGGCTGAGCTCAGCTCAGAGCCAAGCCTCCACCTCCCCCTTTCAATGCCTTTTTCATCTTAACCTTTTCCAGGTAACTTCAAATTCAGTTTCAAAGGCAGAGGGGAAAAAAGTCCTCTATCCATTAGGGAAAAAAAAAGGCCATAAGCACAGCTCTTTTGCTGTGACTTCAGCCACATTATGCCATTTTAAAACTTGTTTTCTTGAATGCCATTTACCACTTTTGCCCATGAAGCTCAAATTCAAAAATATATTGAAAATTAAGGTTTACTATGCTAGATATTATTACTGCTAATGCAAAATTATTTAAAATCTTCAGAAAGCGTAACACTTCTCAGGAGACAAAATTTTCTAAGCATGCTGAATAATCTGATTTGTAACACAATCCTGAAGCCGTGTAGTAGCCGTATTGAACTAATTCCTGTTATAGCATTCAGGGACAGAAATTTCTGCTGCCTTATTTCCCAAGCATTCCAAAAAATATCTCTTCATTTCAGGGGGCTGATCTAAACAGCCAAGCAACAATCCAACTTTTTTATGTTCTGGGTAACTGAAGAAAAAAAAAAGTTGGAAGGCCTGAATTATTGGTGATATCTTGCAGACAATTTTTGCTGCTAATAGGGAGTTACGGGAAAAGAATCTCTGCCTTGCCCATGGTTTGAAAGTATCATGGATAACTGTTTCACAGAAGGTACACATTTGTCACCATCTCCTGCCAAAATATCTCCTCTGTGAACAGTAAAACTTCACGTAAGGAGTTTAGTGTGCAATTTCCAAAACATTGGAAATGTTCAGTAAGCATACATAGAAAGCTGATGAGAGAAAACTTTCCGTAAAATAAAGGAACAGAGGAAAACTCAATTTATGGATGAGGATCTGAACTTCATCCAAGTGTCTTTAATGTTGCAGTGTATTGGCAGAAGAATATGTATCTAACAACAAAAATAACAGGAATACAGGCAGAACCTGAGTTATCTGAGGATATGTTTCTGACTAAATTCTTTATATATGAAAATATAACAATTATGTACATAAATTATACCTCAACAATACAGTAATCAGAAGTCTCCCACCATAGAAAATACCACTATCCTTCTACATTTTAAATCAATATATAAAATTAAGTTATGAATCAACTAATATAGTCAATTATTTGACAGACTTATAAAGCATAGGAGGATGCATTTTATCTCCCATTTACTGACACAGGTAACAAGGTAACCAAGCTCTGTCTTCGTGAAAAGGCTGCCACAAGAAGAGGTCATGGGTGGTTGACCCTGATGGTATGTGTCAAAAGCGAGATGGTTAGGGAGGAGAAAGGGAACAATGATCTAGAAACAACTATGAATAGCAAACAAATTTTCTTTTTTTGCTGCACAAACCCATCCCAAAGTCCTCTCCAGACCTTTCTCCAACATGAAACAAACTACACCATGCACAGGCCACTTCTGATTATGGTTCACCTCATGCACTTTTGGTTTTTCTCAGTATAAGGTGAGTCCACATCAGCTACCCAGTACTGTGGCCACACTGTGAATTCTGACATCACTAAGAACTCCACCTTTCAAGTCCTGCTGCATAGGTAGTAAATCTATCAATTACACATCCACAGTCTTGATTCCTTTGCTTACTGGCATTTTTGCTTGGAAGGATATAAGAATAAGAAGTAGAATAAGAAACCCCAGAGTAAAAAAAGATTCATGTTCACTTCTTGGAATTTCACTAATTTTTCTCCATCACCCTGAAGGATGAGTCATAGATCAAAGACCAACTGTCTTCCACTCAATTTCACACTGCTAACGTGTGTCATTACTGAGGCTCAGGTGCTGTCATCAGAGCAGCTGAGAGAGTAACAGTAGGCTAACTGACTAGGAAGGGGGAAGGGAACGTGCAGGGGGATGTGGGGCTATGTAATTTTTAAGACAAGGCAGACTTAAAAATGCTTAAAAGCTGCCAGGTGGGAAATAGGACAGAAGGAAAGGTTGAAGATACAGGAGAAAAGATCATAAATAGAAAATAAGTCCAGAACACAGGTCCTTCCCAGTGACAAGAGGCAGGCAAAATATGCCAACACCATCACAGTTTGAGGTACAATGGCAAGCAGTTGAAAATTCTTCCCTTTTCTGTGCAAAGAAGGTAACAATGTCTGCTGAGATCCAGGAACAAGGGATGAGGGATAGGCTGAGGTGTTCTAAGGTGTTCCAAGGTGTTCTAAGAGGATATATCTCAGTCAACATTCCCAAATTCCATCCCCACTTTGTAGATTTGGAAAACAAGGCTCTGCATTGTCAAGAATGGTGACTGTTTAGTCCAAAGTCTCTTCTAGGCAGTCATGTCATGCTTACAGAGGAACATGTCTGATACTTTATAACTCCACTCCAATCACCACCGAATGGACTACGAGGTGACTACCCAACCAAGGGCAGCTAATCCTTGCTCTAGGTGCAACTTCTGCAACGGGCTGGCATGAAAGGCTGAGCCGCATCCTGCTCTCGAGATTGTGCGCTCAGAAACACAAAAGAGTGAACTAGTAAACAACATAAATACGGTGGAAGAATAGACAGGAGTAGTGATAAGGAGTCAGGGCAAGGTTAGTGTAGGAAGATGGACACGTGACAAGTAGGCAAAAGCTATGACTAGAGAAAAGACACACAGGATAAAAGCAAAGAGAAAAAACAGACGACCAAACCAAGGACAACAGTGGAGTTCCAGAGGGAAGATCCATAAACTTTTACTAATGTGGTCTCTAGGGCCATCTTCGATCCAGAATCAAAATGTGGCTCCAACTTCTATGAGACATCACTCCAATAAGATTCCTGTATTTCAATTTTCATGAATATTATTTCCAATATCATTTTACACATATTCTTTCAATAAGCTATTCCACCCCAACCCAAGCTAGCTTTGTCTCTGTTCTTCGCAAAGAATCATATCTAAAACAATCTGAGTGAGGCAGCTCAAGGTCACAAAGCTCGATAAAGAGAGGTTAGACCATTCCATTCCCGGGATCCTACAGCCATTCTCCTACACTACTATACCAGAAAGACAAAAGTGAATTGGAGTGGGTGAATTTTACAGCATATAAATTAAACCTTAAGGAATTGGTTAAAAGGGAGAGGGGGTGGGAGGACTAGAGACAAAGTCCAGAGCAGAGCAACTAAAATCGACACTAGAGGAATCTTCGAATAAAAATCAAACTAATAATCTGGGTATGGAAGAAGGCAGGCTACAAAATGAAGTCTATAAAATGAGAGATAAGAAACAGACCTTGACCCCATTCTCTACATCACAGAATGAGGCCATACCCTTTAAAATGTGAGAGGAAGTTTTTAAAAAAATAAAGCATTACCTTAAATATTAAACATTGGGAATTCATGTGCCTAAGAGCTTCAGAACTGGTCTGGGACAACAGCCATGCCCCCTCCAGTACCTCCCTTGGTGCCAGTGCCAGAGATATGACACTGTGAAGGATGAACCACAGGTCAGTCCATTAGGGAAATAAAATATATCTTTATTATTTTCTTCTAATTATAAAAACATACATTTTGTATAAAATTTTCAAACAGTACAGAAATAGATATTTTAAAAAGAGCAAGTTTTGCCATAATAGAGCCCCTGGAGATAACTATTGTTAGGGGTTTGGCATGTACCCTTCCAGACGACTTCACCTGCATACAGAATATATTTTTATCATCCAAACACATTCATATCTTACCAAAACACTGTGCAACTTGTTTTGTCTCAACATACCATTTTTTCCTATACAATTACACACAGGTCAAACATTTGTTTTAACAGCTGCATAGTATTTCACAGCATGGATGTTTGGTTTATTTAACCATTCTACTGGCATTTAGGTTGGCATTTTTTTCACCAATACAAATTTTCTGGTATCAGTGACCATGTATCTCACACACCTGTATAACTGCTTCTGTCTGATAAATTCCTAAAAGCGTTACTATCAGAACCGCATCCTCGTTTGGGGATAGCAAGCTAGTCTGATCATGGCACTCCACCATTAAGTAGCAAACGAGACTCCAAATCTAACGTGCGGGCCAGGGAGCAGAACAAGGATCCAGGCAGAAAACGAAACATTAAGCTGAGGCAGCAAAGTCCTAGGGCTCCTAACTTTCCTTTTGAGGAAATCCATACAGTCACCTGTTTGAGGGGGCAGGTGTGAACTGCCATTTCTTCTGCCCTCGCCAGTCAGAGGTTCCCATACGCATCCAAGCCTGGACGGCCTGACTCTGACAACAGAGCATTTGGAGAGGCCAGAATGAAATACGTAGAATATAAAGCAAAGAAACTGTGGCATGCGATTAATTCAGAAAGAGAAGGGAGGACGTGAAAGATGTAAAACTATTTTTCTTTAAAGTACAGGTTGATTTACCTGTCGCATAATGCAGTGAAATGGCGCTGGATTTCATAGTGATCCCTCGGATCTGCTCGTCTTCTCTGCTGTCCATGTACCGTAACTGGAAAAACGCAACATATGCATCCTTACTTCCCAACGAATTAAAATGTAATATTAAAATTGGCTGATTTAGATTTTTGTTTTAAATACTCAAATTTTAAACTACAGAGTCTTTTTTTTAGGGACAGGGCCCTGGAGAAGGGAAGTTGGTTGAGGGGAAGAGAACATGACAAATTGAAAAATATTACCACCAGGAACCCACAAATGTATTCAAACACTGCATGCCCTCCCCAGAGTGTTGCTTATCCAAACTTCTACTATTAATGTTTGGGTGGGCCAAGAAAAATTTGCAGAAAGTTGTATTTGGGGAAATTCCTTCTATTAATCAAGAACACAGACATTCTTTTTCTATTCATAAGCTGTTCCACAAATTCTGAGCAGAGGCTGAAATAGAAGGTCTCTAGAGGTAGGAGAAGCCTTTACTGCTTTTCCCAAATTAATAGATTTTGAACACTTTTTAAAAAAGAATAGAAAATATATACAATATCGCCACTTCACTGATGACTGTCATAAAGCTTTAATGACCACAAACAAGGGCCTGCATCTCAAATTATGTGGCTTCGCAGTTTATCGATACTGACAGTGGCTGAACTGAATTTCCCATCCCTTTCCAACCCCTCAGCCCTAAGCACCACACTAACCTCTTTCCTCCCTTTCCAGAATGATCTTTTCCTTGCCCTGCCTTCTTTCCACTGTCAAATTTTTGAAAAATTCTTAACCTTTATACTCACTCACTTCTTTCATTCAAAAGCCTTGACAATAATTTACTGATATGGGATTGCCACATTTATTCATCCACATTAATTCCTCAATTTTCAGAAAGGCTTCCATTTCCTTATTATATCCTAAATAAGAACACTTCTTTACTTTTCTACTGCCAAGTTAATTATTCCAAGCCCTTTTAACTCACAGCTAGAAATAAAGATCTCTTTATTTCCCAAAACACTATTTCCATCATGATCCTCAAGCTTCCTAAGGCGTTCCTTTGGTACTTAGGACACTTAGGTTAACTTTCAAAGTCTTCCATAATCTTATACATTCTCTCTACCAGTGTAATTTCTCTCCCACTGGTCTCTAGGCAAATGCTCCACTCAAATCAAGCACAACACACAAATTAGCCTTTGCCCATGTTATTTCCCACCACCTGATGTTTTCTCTGCCTTCTCAAACCAACCAACTTACCCACCTGTGAAGAATCTCTTCCATAGTGAAATCTTTCACATTGATGTATCATCTGACTTGTTGCAAAAACTCACTTTTGCACTTATAAAATATTCATATAAAGCAAAAGAAAGCAATGTAGAAGCAACTGTTTTTCTCACCATCTATTTTATCTTGTTAAATGGATTGGCAGCTACTTACATGCAAGAACTATGCTTTATACCTTTCTGGATCTCTAAAAGACACAGCAAAGGGTTCATCACATTGCAGATGGCTAATACTTACTGAAATGCAACAAATATTTATCGAATATAACAACACACCTTGCCTGCCAGGCGGCTGGAGATGATTCCATTGCTAGATATAAGACAGTCAGCCAAAGTAGTTTTTCCTGTTAAAACAAAACAACATTAACTCAAGTCTATGTCTTCTTTAGAAGGGGTGGAGTGAAAGACTGTTCCTCCAGATTTAATACCTGTAAAAATTGGTTTAGCAAAGATTTCTATTTACCTATGCTGGGTGACAAAACAGTCTTAGTAGACTTTTGAACAGAATATGACAGGAAAGCACTCCACAGTGCTGCATCCTTATCTCAAACCCTGTGGATCTCATCAACCTCGCCTGAAAAGTTGTCAAGCAAATTTTATTTAAGCACAGAACTTTTTTTAAATTGAGGCAGACTTTATATAGAGGAAAATACTCACACTTTTAAGTGATGAGCCAAACCGCCATGCCAATCAAAATATAGAATCATCTGACAATCAACTTTTACAGTTACTATAACCTGTTCCACAAGAATTCGATCAAGTTTATCACATTACATCAATCATCCTATATCCATATCAGTGACTATGCTAATAAACTTAAGCCCCTAATAGCACAGAATGACAAAAAGATAGCAATAATTTTTGTCTCTGAAAGGTATAGTGAGTAAAACATCATCAAGAAACAATAGAACATAGTCTTCTGCCATATTTCCCCATGTATGGCCTTAGCTGGCATTTGCCAGTTGAGCTGTCTTAAGAAAATAGTTACTTAGCAAAGAAATTCAGGAAATCTACCCATATTTCTTACTGTCTGCAATACAGCCTGTGGAGGGCGTCAACTACACTGTCGCTATCAGTAAAACATAGTATCCAAACCTAAACCTAGGAAACTACTTTATAACAAAAGAAATTCTTTGTATACTCAGTATACATCTATGGTTACCTTAATTAAACAGACTATGTACAACTAAAGTTAACACAATTTCATGTGGTAAAAACAGGTAACTTTGTTTAAAGAATGCCATGCGTATACATGATTATTGTAGCAGGGATGGAGAAACACAAGGAGGATTTTTCCTTCAAGACAAGTCTTTATTGCGCTCTAAGAACAAAGCTGTGGAATCTCTGGAATAGTTCAAATCAGAGACCAATCAGTGGGAACACTGAAGAGCTTTAATATCGTGCTGTCTGTCATGTAAATAAAATGTATCAGCATATAATCCTAGAGCATCAATTTCCTGCTACCCAGTAAAGCAGAATTCTTTCTAGGTACAGCAAGCATATGTCTCCCTAGAATATAAGTATCAAGAAAGCAGGAACTTTGCTTTATTCATGGCCATATCTCCAGAACAAGAACGATCCTTTGCATATAGAAGACATTCAATAAATATATTTGTTGAATAAATGAATCATGGGTTTTCTGGGATAGTAGCAGTTTAACATAATTTTAAAGAGAAAATTTAATTTGTTACACACACATACCCTACACTGATTTTCCACATCATTTAATTCATGAAACAAAAAAATGTATGTATTTTTAGGCTGGAAGGACACCTGTAATCCCAGCAATTTAGGAGGCCAAGGTGGGAGGGTTGATTGAAGCCAGGAGTTCAAAATCAGCCTGGGCAACATTGCAAGATCCTGTCTCTACCAAAAAGAATTAAAAACAGCTGGGCATGATGGAGCACACCTTTGGTCCTACCTACTGAGCAGGCTAAGGCAGGAGGATTGGGGCAGGGGTTAGTCACTGGACTTGTACATAAAATTCATTCTCAGTTGGCTTCACCTATAAAGTGATCCATTATTTCTTTCTTTCAGTTCCCAAACTTACTTCACTGCACATCTGCCAGTCTAATCTTTCTAATGTACTATTTCATTACATCACCCCTGCTTTATTTTTTTCCCCCAATGGCTGCCTAAAAATTAAATGATCATTTTCACAGTAAATCATTTACCTTCCCGTAAAGAGATTCTCATTATCATTCACATTTGATCTTCACAACCCATAAGGTAGGTGTAGTTTTCATCCTGTTTTACGGATGCTGGATACTGAAGCTCATAATGGCAAAGTACAGAACTTGAAAATGGAGTTCTAAATTCAGGCTGCCTAACTCCACAGGTGGAGCACTTAACACTTATCCCAGTGCTCAGCTGGCATGAGGAGCTCTGGGAGACATGACCCAGCCTGCCTCTTCACCTTATCCACTAGTGCCTCACTTTCAGGATGGTAGATGGCTTTTATTTCACACGCCCATTCCAATCGCTTTGCTGTGGCTACCCAAACCAAAAAGGGGTTTGAAACCAAGGGCAGGCTTGGCATGAAGGAGTTCTTTGGTGTTACAGCAGTTATCTGCAGAAGCATACACACCATGCATTAGCTACCTCTGCCCTTCCCATGCCCTGGGGCTTTGACCACATATAATTCCTCCCACCTTTGTCGACACATTCCCACCTATAATGTCCCCATCTGTCATCTTGAGCCCTCCTTCAGGCATCATCTCGAATACTAATTATGTTATGAAGCCTTTTTCATAACCCACTCCTAGCTTCCAAATCCTCTAGTTCTACCAACCTTTACAGTCTACTTTTTCTCTCATATGTTTGTCTCATTTTTCCCTGCCTCACCTCTAAAACCTCTATTGCAGGGTTGGTGCCCTACTCATAAATCTCTACGTCCTGACACACTTAGTAAAATATCTTGAACTTAGCAGATAGTCAATAAACATCTGATGAATAGGATCATGTAACACAGGCTCTGAGGACATTACGTCAAGACTGTAGACGTTTTACATGCGCAGCCTGTAAAAACAAAAACTCAAGTCCCGGTTTAAAAAACAACGTGATACTATGTAGAAGAACGCTAATCACTAATTAACCGTGTTCATTTCAAATGCTTCACACCAAGCATGCTTCTCTAGCATCACAGAAAACCTTTTTTTTAAAAAAAATAGGACCTGTTTCTTAGCAAACATCACTGTCAGCTTGCCCACAGCTTCACTCCACCGAGACATGAAGAGACGCACATTCCTCCCCACCCCTTATTAACGAAAATACATCATTTAAAAAGGATTCTTACCATGGTCAACATGAGCCAAAACACAGATATTCCTGATGTTGGCAGTGTTTTTCTGGAGTTGAATCATCTTATCCAAACTATTGAGCACCATGGTTACTTATTTCCTGTGATTAAAAATTGAACATTTCTTACAAATTGCCTAGGGACTAAAGGTCAGGGCAAAAGAAAAAAAATAAAAATAAATCAAAGGCCGGGCGCTGACAAGACTTGTCAGAACCCTGGATTGATGGGATATGCCCACTCGGGCCCCAGCGCAGTTCGAGCACCAAAGTCAGTATTACGTCACAACTACACTTAATGGAGCGCGCTCATCCTTCCGGATCCGACGGCTGCTTGAATCACGCGGCTCCGGGGCTGGGCGCACCGGGACCCCGCAGCCCGCCGACGGACGCGCACTCCGGTAAACTTCTCCAGGCCAGTAACTACGTGCGGGGAAAGACGCCGCTGACGTCCTCCCTTCCTCTCCCCAACCCTGCCCCAAGTCCCTCACTCAGTCATCCTCGTCCGCCCGCACCCCAGGAGAAACGCCCGGCTGCAGTACCGCCCCACGGAGCCTGGGGAAAGTTTCGGGTCACGTGCTTGCTAACCGAGCAGGTGCGCTGCAGGTCCTTAATTCCTCTCCAAATTAAAAGGAAAAGCCTCAACTCTACTCTCCCTTCACTTCTGCGGGGTGCTGGATCCGTTCCTTTGAGGACCCTGGGTCCACAAAGAAGCGGCCGCCGGGCCCCGGGCTGGAAGCTGCGGCAGCGGCGGACGCCCGCTCCCCGCCCGGACTCGCCCCAGCCCCGCGGCGACCCGGCCCTAGCACCGCTGCGAGGCCGGCGGAGGGGGTCGCCAGCCCCCCGCGCGAGCCCGCACCCACCGGCTCCGGCCGCCGCTCCAGCCCCGCTCAGCTCTTCCCGACGCGGCCACCCCAAGCGCGGAGACGCTGAGAACTCCGCGAGTCTGGAACGCCCGAAGGGGCGGAGCCGGCTGACGCCCGACCTTTGACCCGCGCGCGTCTGCGTCGCTCCCGGAAGTCGGCCCCGCGTCCGTCTCCTGGGATCCAGCGGTTCGTTGCCTTGACTACGGCGGGCGCTGTGGAAGCCGAGGAGCTGCGATTGCTGAGGCGCAGCGGCGAGCCCGGCGCGCGGAGAGCATGAGGAGCTGCTGTCTGTGTCAGATTTGTACCTGCGGGTAAGAGACGGCGGGGCGGCGGCGGGCCGGGGCTCGGGAGCCGGGCGAGGGCGCCTCGGGGACCCTGAGGGCGCCGCCCCCGAAGATGAGAAGACGAGGGCACGGCGGCATCCGCTCTGACCCGCCCGCGAATGCTGCCGCGGGGCGAAAGCGTTTCCTCTTTGCGGTCCCTGCGACTCCCTGTCCGAGGGTGCAAGGTGGGCAATGCTCGCGACGCGACGCAGCGGCCGATGTCAGGCTGGTGAGCGGTGGGATCCGATCGGCTGGAGGAATGCGTACCCCACAAAAAGGATGCAAAGAGTGGTGGCGAGGCCATGAGTTTGCGACCTGCGTTACACTTTGTCCATCTCCAGCTTTTCCTCCTGGCCAGACCGCGTTGCCATCCCCGGCCAGGCAGCGCTCCCTGGGGTCAGACTGAAGAGGCAGTACAGTCGTCCCCACCCTGAAGCCCAGAACTGGCCTGACAGCCTTCCACCACCTGGAAACACAGCCCTTTCCTTCCTCAGCCTCGCTGTTGACCCAGGGATAGGTCATTATTTGCTAAGTAAATATGAATATGTCAGTCGCTTCGTATTTGCCATCCCCTTCAAAGGAAAAACACCTGCGTGTTGATGGAACGCAGTTTCTCTGCCAATCTCATAATAAACATAGTTTGTAATTAGATGTAGATTAAAAGATAACACAAGGCTATAGCCTCCCAAGAAGAGTCGTGGGACCATGTCGAATATTGACACTTTGTAACTTTGAGGTTTGCTGCAAAAGAACTTAATAGGAATGCCAAGAAATGTGATAAAGAAGAAAAGGCTGAAAGGGCCAAAATTAAAAAGGCCATTCGGAAAGGCAATATAGAAGTTGCAAGAATACATGCTGGAAATGCAATCTGCTAGGAAAAGCAAGCAAAAAAAA